TACTCCTCTCCCATCGTAATTCTCGTAATGGCAATAAGACAGATTCCCTTCAGTCAGACCAATGGCACTTTGCACTTAAATATCCATAGATCGATTTTCCTACCTGAGATTGCTCTGTTTTCCTTTAGTACGTTACAGTAAATCACATTTAACATGTAATAAGAAATATGCATAAAGAAATATATGCTGCTGGGCAGGAAAGCGGGGAGAGTTTAATAATAATAACATCTAACAAGCCTGTCTTGCTCCCTACAGAGTAGCGGCATGTTTTCTGGTCACCCAGACCTCGCCTCTCAGAACAGACGTGGTTCTATGGCACCGTCTTCTCCTAGCTCCCCCACCCCATTCTCAAGTGGACCACGGGGGGGGGCCCTCTCTAATGGCCTGGCCCATCAGACCTCTATGGCAGCCTTGTCAAAAGAGCCCAATGGGAATGCAGTGGTGGAATCAGAAGAGCCCAGGGGGATGGAGAACCGTAAGGTCCCCTCACACCGTCGGCACGGCTCTCACCGTCGGCGCGCTTCCACCAGAAACAGGATGGAGAATCGGCCGCCTAAAGACGCACCCAGCAGGCGAGTTTATCACCAGTGTCAGGGGCAGATGGGAAAGGCCTCACACAGAAGCAGGGGCAGGATCATGTAGCAGAATAACATGCAGAGAAACACGCCTACGTAACCAGAATGTAGCCTAGAACTCCGCATTTCACAAGCTAATGCGTTTGCTGTAGTTTGCTGTGCTTTTTGCTGAAGCCTTTCTCCTCGTGCTTTTGACCAGCAGAGTGCAGTACTACAATAGAACCTTCAGGTAAGATTATCACTATTGTTAAATTCTCCACTAGTACTACCATTTAAATTGGGGCCATTCCATTTAGGACAAATCTCCTCTATTTGTTATATTTCTTTATTTTCTGTCATTGGTTATGGCTTCACTATGAGTAATGTATATATTCCTGCATCCCCTTGTTTCAGCATTTGACTGAATTCGCTTTTACTTTCTACTGATTAAAAATAAATGATAAACGCCCTACTTCAGCTCCACTGTTCTATTTAATGCCATCCTGCACACCTCGCTGTTCTAGTGCTGCCTACTCATTTCCTTTTTGTCCTTGTTACCTCAATCTCCATCCTCCTTTTGCCCAGGAGAGACTCCGAGGACGCTTGCGTCGCTCCCGGTCGAAGGCACGGCGGCTTGGAGGAAGTCAGATGGGAGGAGTGCCCAGGGGAGCGGGGCTACTACGGCAGGGATGAGGAGGCGGGGAGCACAGTCTTCCGGGACAGGTACGGGGATCACCAACGGGGGCCAGAACACGCCACAAGTAACTCGTTATGATTGGACGCTCAGAGCGATGAAATGACAACGTTTGGGCCCGTTTTTAAGGCTAATGTTTGTAAACGTCTGTTAAAATGTTAATTCAATGAATGTCACATTATTGGCAGTTCCCATGACAACTGTATGCACAACCTTGCATGGGATCTGAGTTTCCGGCTGTCTGCTCCCGTTTCAGGCAGCTGTACCCTGACGCTCCATGCATGCACCCTGGGCACAGTGGGCATGAGTGCAATGCACAGGTGCCCGGACAGAAGCCGCACGGCACTCACTATGGCTACGGAGACTGCCAGCGGCCAGCTCGGCGACGTCTGCTTCCAGCCACGCCCACTGGTACCAGGCTGCCATTGTCTGCTATTCATTCAGCCAAAGTGTGCCGCGGCCTCCCCGCATTCAGCATGACCCCCCCCTTCACTCAGGACGCAGGCCTGCTTTCAGCATGACTCCCCCCTGTCACTCAGGACGCAGGCCTGCTTTCAGCATGACCCCCCCCTGTCACTCAGGACGCAGGCCTGCTTTCAGCATGACTCCCCCCTGTCACTCAGGACGCAGGCCTGCTTTCAGCATGACCCGCCCCTGTCACTCAGGACGCAGGCCTGCTTTCAGCATGACTCTCCCCTGTCACTCAGGACGCAGGCCTGCTTTCAGCATCCAGTGTCTGCGGCGCCAGGACAGTGCCGACGACCTTCCCATCCCAGGCACCTACAACCAGAACTCGCCGCCCCGCCAGGCGCACACACAGGTGCAGTCGCAGCGTCCGTCGAACTAAACCAAGTTCGGACCCCTTTCCTCTGTCTGATGAACCCCCCCACACCTCTCCCCCCCCAGATGTATGGCAGCTACGAGTCCCGCCGCAGCAGCACACGTTCATCCGGCAGCTCCACGTCCTCATGGGCCAACGCCAGCCCTCGGCGCAGCCGCCTGCTCTACGCCCCCCTGATCCTGGTGGAGGAGGACAGAGTGGGGAGTGGGCCCTTAGTGTGGGGCGACAAGAAGGGGGGCGAGGCCAGCCATTCTGACCCAGCCAGGCCCGGCTGGTACTGCGGCCCTGGGGGAAGCAGTGGGCCCCAGCCCTACCGGACCTATGCCACCTTGCGGGTGCCGGGCCAGCTCAGCCCGCACTGCAGTGACAAGAGAGGCAGTGCAGACAGTCTGGTGGAGGCGGTGAGAAGCGTCTTCATTAAAATTCTTTCCTGTATTAAACCTGCTGTGGAAATGCCTTTACGGCAGCTATTCAAGAAGAAAAAGGTCAGATATCACAAGAAAAAGAAACATTCACAGTGCTGATCTCGGGTTTATTTCAAATGCGAGGAATGCAGCTACATATCTGATGCATTTATAAATCACACTTTGTCAGCCGTGTGTTAACAATCTAATATTACCCCCTGCCCAGGTCCTGATCTCGGAAGGGCTCGGTATTTATGCCAAGGATCCCAAATTCGTGGCCTTTGCCAAGAGGGAAATTGCTGACGCCTGTCAAATGACCATCGATGAGATGGAGAGCGCCGCCAGCGACCTCCTGAGCCGCAGAGGGGCCGACGGGGGTGCCGCAGGGGGGCTCCTGACCCACCCAGACGCCGGAACCCTGTACAGCGATGACGAGCCCGTGAGAAGCCGAGACGAGGAGGAGCTGGCTGATGAGATGACGTGTGTCACTTCATTCTGAGAGTCGGCCGGGTGCAAGAGCTGGCCCAGGAGGACCAGCTGAGTGCCACATACAGGCAGAGAGGGAAGAGGAACTGAGAAGGGTGGAAAGGATGGATGAGCAAAGAGTGTATCAGATTAACCTGGAAGAGTGTAGCGTGAGCTACAGTACACTCAATATATAGCACATTTTTGTGAGGATTAATGTCCCAAAATGGATCTCTTATCAATGCTCCACTGCACCTCACATTTGTACATGAGTATATTGTCTTATCTTTTCATCAAAGTTGAATCGGTCATTGCAGGGGCTCTGGCAATGTCGGATAACAAACCTAGCAGAGCACAGACAGACACCTAGTGACCCCTGACCCATTGCTCCCCTGACCCATCCCATTCTCAGTGTATTGTATTAAGTTATCCCAGTGTTTTTCTGAAGTGGACTTCACCTTTCCATTTGGTATTCCCACATACTGTAGCAAACTACACCATGTTAAAATGCCATCAAGAACCCTATAGATATGGATGGTGCAAATGTCAGTTCCACAAATCAGCAGTGCTTGGTTCATTTGTAGCGTTTACATGACATTTTGTCTATAAGAAGCATATGCGTGCTCTTTTACGGAAACTGAAGAATTGATGTACCAGAAGACTAATGGAAAGTCTTTTACCTGGAACATGTTAAAAACATTCATATGCATACCTTCAGCTCCAGTTTTCTCATGTGGATAAAATGGAGTCAAAGGAAAACCTCCCTTTAAACTTTGTCTATTCTGAAAACTTCATAAACACCCCACATAAAAAAGAAAGGAAATGTGACAGTGTGACATGCTGGTTAGAAAAGAATTACTCATTTAAAAGGAGTGCTGTTAATGAATTGTTGTTCATTTGGAGAATTGTAGATGCATAAATGAAATTGGTAAACTGCTCTGTAAAGTACCTTCTGTAAGATGTTTTTGATGTACTTGTGAGATACCATTATATTTGTAAATAAGAAACGAGAACAAAGGGTTTCCACCAATTCATGTTGTCTTGAGTTTGTATACCATTGGCCTTGTTTGCATGCTGTGTCCGTCCTAATGTTTTGCCTGTCACTGCTCTATCGAACTGCATAGGAAGAGTGAGGTCAGGTCACACACATCATATTCGGCTCAGTTATCGGCTTTTCCCGGGCGTCTGTAAGTCACTTATGGGCGAGCAGCTTGAGCGCGCTTTTGGAAACACGCAGGATCCTCTGAAGCTGGCTCCCCTCTGTGCCATTCCAGCTTTTCCTACTCTCTTCATATCCTGTCTTGAATGAATTTAACTGAAAATTCTAATCTTCACTGTTGACTGACAACATCATTCATGAACAACATGCTTCTCAAAAGAAGTTCGATCCCCATGTTCTATTATTATTTTTAAGCGTTCCATTAATATACCTGAAGGAGCAATTAAAATAAATTACATCAGATTTTTTTAAGCCTTTGGTTGCAAGCTAACACTTAAAATTGAGTCAGTATGTTTGTTTTGGAGGATGGAAGCTCTCTCCTTAACCCCTTTACTCTATAAGGAGGTCTAGTTCTTCATCCATACAGTTTCAGTTGTTTAATCATCTAAAATGGCAACAGTTACAGTAGAAAGCAGTGTAGTGGTAGTCTACATCAAATTTAATTCTGGCAACCAATTACATATCTGATTCCCATAACACTGACAGAAATTAGTTGACAGGAACTAGTTTCTAAATCTATATCCCCTGTAATAAGTCCATATGGCAGTAGGATGCTAGCACTACTATTATAAAACATAATAATACTAATATGAACTACAAAGACTGGATACAATGAATGTTTTATTACTGGCACTACACCATTTTTATTAATCATTTTGTTCATCAATCAATGTTACAAAAAATGTAAACAATTTGACCAAAAAAGACCCTGCATACAGTACACACTCAAGCTATCTTGTGTTACGTAACAGGAAATGGCTATTCCTCCAATACCTACGTAGACTAAAGCTTTATTATCATTGGCTGGGTAGTGGGCGATGTCCCGCTCTTGTTTCCAGTATCTAAGACGGTTGTTGGGTTTTTCTGTAGGACGCTCCATTCGGCTGTTGCCTTTTGTCGTTTTAAAACAGCTTGTGACGCAATATAGCTGTTACTGACTCCTTCCCTTCCCCCCGTGGGCTATTCCGGATAGGAAAACAGCCTCCCTCCACTCTGCCCATCGTCTAATCTCCAAGCAGGCGGCTACAAAATGGATATAGTAAATCAGGTAGGGTTACAATTACAATAATATTTCATTTCATATATTTATTTGTCTGGGATTATAACATCACTCATACATATATATTAAATGATCTATTTTATACGTGCTACAGTAATTGCGCTGTGGAACTACTTGATGAAAAAATAATGTGGAGCAAATATTGTATCTGTGTTGAAATGCCCAGTTCGTAGGTGCCGTAAAAGCCTATAGTCTAGTTAGGCTGAAAACGCGATAAACGTCGAAATGAAATGTATTACCAATCTGCATGGATAGCATTGCACTCTACTTCATATATAAAATTATTATCATGAGGGGATATATGTAGATAACATGTTTACTATATAAACATATTTATTTATATAATACACGTCTATTAAGTTTAGCGAATAATATTATATTAATACTATTTGATACCATAAAAGAAAATAACAAGGAAAAAAATCGAGTGTTCTGATGTATGTATATAGACTGTTCTGATAATATAATAAAATATCATCTGTTCGAAATAAATACCTTAAAGCAGAATATGCAAATGCAGTAAAAGATATAGTCCAAAATCAAATATGCCAATATTCTGCCTTTATAATGCTAGCTGTTTTTACTCATAGTACAGGATGCTGCGGCAACGGCTATGCTACTCATGCAGATACCTTGTTGTTTTGCCGGGATGATAATTGGAAATGTGACAGTGTGAGGATTCAGCACAAAATCTCAGGCAAACTGTATACACGTCTCAATCGATTGAACGCCTTTATCCAACGATAAAAAGCCTTGTAGGCTATGGATAAAATTAAATGTACTGATATAAAATACGCAGTCAGACAATGATGGTGTGCTTTGCATTACAGCAAATAAAATTAGTCAACATTAAACAAGAGGAGAGATGCAATAAATCTGTGTATTGCTTTTTTATATGGTGGCGAATGAGACTCACAGACTTAGATGGGCGTACCTCTCCCGGGATGACTGTGATTCAGTCGCACCTTCTACGTCACCCTTAAAGAAATTAGATGGACACCGTCATACACAATTGTACAGTTAGACCATTGTATAACCATTGGGCATGGCAGCATTGCTTTTAAAAAGCGTTTATATCATATTCCATTTTAACATATAGGTGTCTTTTACCTGGTCACATTAATTTTGCCATAGGGTTGTTGCGCCGTCGTTAAGACATGTGCTGCCGTTCTGTTTAAAGCGACCTTTTTATGTTAGATCTAAAACGCCTCAGAGTCGATAGCACGGCTGCTGTTTGCTAACTGCAAATTTGACTTGAATTAAACAGAAGAATCTCAGCAGCCTTTATTCCCGTGACTTTTATGAGCTCGCCATCACTTAGCAGCCTCAATTTCACGTTGGATCGTCGCTATTTTCCTTTCGAAAGAGAAATTAATAGTATATCGAATTTTTCTGTGCCGTGTGTTTATTTGATATCGTTTTACTTTAATTACAAGGCACCTACTATTGCACATTATATGTTATGAATAGAGCCTAACAACTTTAAAGAAAGCATTGTCCTTTGCCTTTGATTAATGAAATTGTGAATCCATACTAACTGTTAATTTTGATGTTGACAGTTGGTTGCCTCTGGGCAGTTCAGGATCCTCAAAGTGCCCTTGGGGTTCATGAAAGCCCTGGAATGGGTAAGTCTTTATCATACTGGGGGAAGGAATCATGGTGCGTGCTCAGCTAGATCTACATATTAATGTCTCCTATTTGATTAATTTACAAGCAATACATATCCACTTAAGTCCCAAGATTACTCAAGTCTATTAAGTCCCTCCAAGATTCTGCTGTTCAACATTATACGCAATACCAAAGACAGGGAGCTGTTCTTGGACGGGCAGAGTGGAGTGTTTACAAATAAATGGCTGATATGTAAAAAATGAGTAGCCTATGGATTGGGTGGAATGTAATCCTTGATATTACTATTGTTTTTTACTAATCTTTCTTGCATATTATGTAACAGACACTCTTACACAAGCGCAGTGCTGTTACAGTCCTGAAACTGGATGCTTTGCTCACTGCCAGTGGCTCCCACAGAGCTTGGCAGGGTGGCCTTATTATTCCCACTAGAGCTGGAATTTCTTACAAGATAAACATGATCTACAGCAAAATGCCGCGGTGTCACAAGAAACTTGGGGTGTATGATGAGAACTGGATGAAAGCATTGATTTACTTTGTTTATAATGTACTGAGTGGGCATTACTTATACTCTTATTAGTCCTCATTTGTTTATTCTCATACTCTTTTTCTTCCTCATTTGTTTATTCTCATACTCTTTTTCTTCCTCATTTGTTTATTCTCATACTCTTTTTCTTC